AACTTGACGACATACTTCGTCATGTCCTCGCCTACTACGAACGGTGGTAGTTGGTCCAGAATTCTATAACCGCTGACCTGAATAGTCGGAGAAGCTACGCTAGGCGCCTGCGAACACTGTAGGATTGCCTATTCTATTCGTTTCAACTCGAGGCGCTCCTGTCTCTCGGCCTCCTCACGGCGTTCTCGCCTTTCAGCTTCTTCACGTTCGCAAACTTCTACTTCTCGCCTTTCAGCCTCCTCGCGGCGTGCTTTGATATCCTCCCAGGCCTCATCGACTTCCTCAGCCGACACTTCTTCATCCCTCATGATCTCAAGGATCGCTTGTTTTCGTTTCGCACAGCCAAAAGTAATGCCGAGTTCCTCACAAATTTCGATGAGTTCCTTCACTTTAAGGTTCTCCATCATTCACACTAGCCTCTTGCTGTTTGCCCCTGTTAAGAATTTACTTGCCGTACCCACTATAAGTCAACTAGCAAGACGCGCAAGCAATTTTTAACACTCCCGTGTTTAACCCCTCCGTATTAACTTTCGTTTGAAGCTCACTTCTAAGCCGCGTTAACACTGAGCATTCCGGCCGCCGAAAGTGCTCCGAATCCGCGTTCGGCGCGGCGAGATCCGCCGAAAGGGCCCTCTCCGCGCCGATCGCTCTCGGACCGATTTTTGCGGCGTCTGCCGCCGAATCGGTCACCGCGGACCAATAGGAGCGCTAGTCAAGGAATTTTGAAAAATGGCGGCCAAGTCAACTAAGCCGGTGCACTTGCCGAGACGCGAGTGGAGTCGGACGTAGCCGATCGAGCCACCTGCACCGAGTTCAGTTTCCTATATTCGTGTAACCCCTGCCGATTCACCTGTAACTTAGCACAATACAGTTTTCTTAAAATTTGAACCTTGCCTTGACTACATTCATTCGGACCATCGCTGACAGCCCATGTGGTATGAGTGCGTTGTTTAGGAACCTCACTCGATTTCTCCGCTTCCGTTGCCCTGCCCCGACAGTGTCCTTCGTAAGAGGAGGGTCCTTCTTGAAATTACGGTGCGGAGCGGGTTTCCGTTGATCAGGTTTCTTTAAAAAACCCTCTTTCCTTTCATCTTTTTCAACGCGCACTGCCCTGCCATGCAACTTTCGGCGAGTATAATACTCCTCAGCTAACTCTGCTGCCCTGTTTAGCTGTACTTCACCAACTTTGTCCTGCAGCCAAAGCTTGACATGCTCCTCAATGCAGCGGTAGAATTGCTCCAATGCAATGCATTCCACCATTTTATGGCGATCGTCATAAATACCTTCGCCCTTGAGCCATTCAATGAAATCGGCTTTAAGACGAAACACGAAGTCAACGTGTGACTCATTCCCCATTTTAGCATACCGGAACCTTTGCTTGAAAGCCTTGGGTGTCAACTTATAACGCCTCAAGAGCACTTCCTTAACCTCGTCATAGCTCTCAAACGATTCTCTCGACAAGCAAGTTATCGCATCTGACAGTTCGCCGGGAAGAAGTGCTAACAGGTTCTGTGCCCAAAGAGACCGCTCTAAAGCATTTCGCTCACAGACGTGTCCAAACTTGACGAGATACTTTGTCATGTCCTCGCCTACTACGAACGGTGGTAGTTGGTCCAGAATTCTATAACCGCTGACCTGAATAGTCGGAAAAGCTACGCTAGGCGCCTGCGAACACTGTAGGATTGCCTATTCTATTCGTTTCAACTCGAGGCGCTCCTGTCTCTCGGCCTCCTCACGGCGTTCTCGCCTTTCAGCTTCTTCACGTTCGCAAACTTCTACTTCTCGCCTTTCAGCCTCCTCGCGGCGTGCTTTGATATCCTCCCAGGCCTCATCGACTTCCTCAGCCGACACTTCTTCATCCCTCATGATCTCAAGGATCGCTTGTTTTCGTTTCGCACAGCCAAAAGTAATGCCGAGTTCCTCACAAAATTTCGATGAGTTCCTTTACTTTAAGGTTCTCCATCATTCACACCCAGCCTCTTGCTGTTTGCCCCTGTTAAGAATTTACTTGCCGTACCCACTATAAGTCAACTAGCAAGACGCGCAAGCAATTTTTAACACTCCCGTGTTTACCCCCTCCGTATTAACTTTCGTTTGAAGCTCACTCTAAGGCCGCGTTAACACTGAGCATTCCGGCCGCCGAAAGTGCTCCGAATCCGCGGTTCGGCGGCGGCGAGATCCGCCGAAAGGGCCCTCTCCGCGCCGATCGCTCTCGGACCGATTTTTGCGGCGTCTGCCGCCGAATCAGTCACCGCGGTCCAATAGGAGCGCTAGTTAAGAAATTTTGAAAAATGGCGGCCAAGTCCTACTCACTTGTAATGCCGCAGTGCACGTAACTGAATGTTGAAACCAACGGGAGTTTAACCTACTCTGTGCCTACATCGCCTCCGTATTTCGTGAAAGAGGTGACCGAGCTTGCTGTTGGCGTGACCGAGCTTGTTGCGGTCTTGCAAAGCAAAACGGACCCACCAACGCCGCTGGCGTCGGTGGTTTTTCTGCTCTTCGTGCATTAGAAGATAGCCACTTGCCAGCAAAGTAAGCAGTACTGTCTTTTCTTGCTTCTTGCGTACAAAAATCGTCGAAGTGTACACCACCGGATATCGTAGTAGCGTTTGCGAGCTGCGACAACAACCGGGTGACAGCGCATCCATCCCGCGTTCGCCCCGAAGTAGATGGCATATTCGGCGGCGCGGAGCGCGTCCAGTGCGAACGACGCTGTGTTTCGTCGGCAGGGGAATTTCGGTCGCTGTAGAAAGCGGATGTTCCAGTGTGAAGTCCGCATAATGCTTCACACAGCCCTTCTCTAAACTACTATAACCTGTGCTAGAGTTATAGTAGGCGAAAACATCACTGAGCAAAACATCACTGAGGCGAAAACATCAGGCACTCACCGCATTGATGTCGCTGACGCCGGCCGATCCCGCCGCTGCCAACCACTGTTACGAAGCGCGCCTCCGACGACGTTACGAAGGGCGCCACGAATCCCACCGCTGCCACCACTGTTACGAAAGACGGCGACGCTAACACGGCCTCGAAGGCGCCACTACTTTGAACTCCGCCGGGAAGGTCACCAGCCGTTTGGTAGCGTAGGTTTCTCACCTCGCGACTGCTTCTGCGCCTGGCTGATAGACGAGCGGACGAGACAACGGTGAGTTAAACAAGCTTTATGTACAGCATATATACAGAGGCATTACAAATTCGCCACTGGGGCCGACAGCTTATTGACTCGGACAGCCGAGCTCTCTCCTCTCACACATAGGTCTACTGCTCGTGACGCGCCGCAGGGCTTCTTTTATATGAACCAGGTGGATTCTTTGAGTAACCAAATGTCCAACCAGAAGCGCCGCTGGTCGTCAGGTCAGAATCCTCCAATGGGGTCGCCGCTTCGCCGCGTCATTCTCATGGAATCTGGAGCCGCTGCGCTGCAGGTGGCTGCAACCAAGGACGAGTGACGTCGCCACGCATTGCGTCAGACTCGCCAGACAGGAAGGCGCCGATTGCTTCGACGGGCTCGCTAGCTGAGGTGACTCACTGTGCGTGCGCGGGAGAAAGGCACCACCACGTGATGACGCCGTTGTCTTCGTCAGGCGGGCTCGCGTGCTGGCCTTGACACACATTGCCTTTTTCAGAGGCATGGACGTTCGCTGTGGACTTGCAGGCATAACAGCACACAGCACGAGCGCTCAACTAACAGTTGAGCACTCGTGCTGTGTGCCTCTTCTTTGCTTTGTGTTCGTGTTTAACCCTGCACTCCCAGTTCGCTGAACTAACAATTAGGCGTCACACAATGCGATTAGCTTAACGGGTGGGTCGTCCAATGCTCCAACCCGTTACAAAAGCTGGTTCTTGATCGACCCCAAATGCCTTGCAATTGTTAAGTGGATGCCACACTTCTCAGAAGAATGACGAAGGATAGCATTGCGAATGACGGTCTAATAATGCCTAGTGGGTACACAACAAGTGTGCGTGCAGCAGTTACGCAATGAGTGTTTATAAAAATCTCTGAAAAGGCAGCTTTTCTAGCTTTCGCTGTGACAGTGTTGCGCCTTCCGCGCAGGCCTGGCCTTTTTTTTATTTGCCGAGTGTTTTTAATATTTCTTGGGACACTATAGTTGCAGAAACCGGCGGCAGTGGACAACTACGGCGCAGCATGTGACCCTTGTAATTGCAGCTCTCACTGTGAAACAGCATATGCGCGACTTTATTCATAACAAATACTGAAATTAGGGTCTCTGAGCTTTGGGTATACCATTTGTTGCGTAAAGTTGTTATGTAGCGAATAAATAACTAAATAACTAACAAATATTTACAAAACAAGAATTTGAAGTGCGCAAGGCGGCTGTCAGCAACATGAAAATGATGTCACTCGGCTACTTCTAACATTGTATTTTTGACTCTTGGCTAAAGATAGTTGGGGAACCCGGTATCTGTGACACATGTGAAAGATAAGAAAATTGTCTGCTTTTTTAAAGAGCTAAAGCTTATGTTGATTGCTAATAATTGTCCTCTCGTGATGACTTTTGCCACTGTTCACCGACAACCATGCCCAGATGCACACGAGTAGACAGTATCGTGACTAAAGATACTTTGAAAGGAAATAAGAAAACGTTCAGAAGCTAAAAGTTTTATCAAGCTTCGCTAAAAAAATGAAGGAAAAAATTAGGCTATTTCTGGATAAAGTAGCTTGCGTTAGGATCTTTCATGACAACACAGGATTAAGAGCAACATGCCAAGGACTGCGCAATGTACAACATGCGGTAAAACGATGTCGTACAGAGAGAACAAGAGAAGTTGTCAACTGTAAGAATTATTTTACAAGCGGGTAGATCTCTGAGAGAACGCCTAACTACTACCGTCCCATTGAAAACACCTTTAGGCCTGTCTTTAGAGTAAAGCTTCTCTGTCTTATAACTTTGTCCACGCTAATTTACATATTTCTGGAACGTCAGACAGCGTGCATAAACACAAATAATATTCTGTCGACTACTGTAAAGGACACATCAACCGAAGAATGCGCATTTCTGTCTCGGGTTCATCTGCGACCCCACGGGACAGTGGAACGCCCGGGCGAAGGCCTCGAAATTGCGCATCGCCTTGTTGCAGTCTGCTGTGTAAGAGCCCATTTCATCCGGGAGTGTGCACATCATATAGCACAGTGTGATGAAAAACACCTTGTCGCCCGAGAAGGCTCCAGGAATGCCTTGCGGACTACTGTCGCTGCCGTCGCTGACCGCACGCTGGTACGCTATGTAGGCCAGCTCTAGTGCGGGAATCTCGGGAAAGACGCTCTTACGTCTTCCCAATGCAGTCAGGTTGGTCTGTGCGCTTCCGTTGGAGCCATTTTGAGCGGCGCTCCGGCATGTGTCTCGCATTTCAAAGGCCCGTGCTGAAGTGCTGCAACATGAGCGAGAAGTTATGTCACATTACGGTGTATACAAATTCTCGCCTGTACTTAAGTTATTGTGAGTTGACATTGTAACGTACGGAAACATGATCCTACACCAAAGTAAAGGATTTAGGTTTCAGCTGATTAGTCCACTAGGTTAAACGCTCTCTAGAACTATACGTAGCGAATTATGGACGCACTTGAAGATGACGAGCGTAAATCGCCCGACGACGAAGGCATGTTATGGCAGTCGTGTCATGACAGCCCCATCGGTACAACTTGGGACATGCCCGCACCATAGCCGTAGCTTGGGAATCCTTAGGCTGAAACGGACGAAGCTCAGACGACAAAAGTGTCCTCTGAGCGTCGCTTCCTGTGAAGCTTTTGTCCCGTCTTCTCGTAATTCACCTCGAAATGTACCTGCCTGTCCAGTTTGTCTTCATTTTGCCATCTCACGCACCTTTGTAAGTGTAGTTACTCCAATAGTTTTAACACACTACTCGCCCCTCCGAATTATTGTAGAAAACAGCGCATTACTTACAAATAAAATAGGACCATTATGACTAGTGTTATGCTGTTTAGAAGAGAAATGAGCAGTTTTTAAAAATCTGTAGTTAACCAACTATCAACTGCTACATGGGATAGCAAGACCTATTTTTTCTCAAGTCATTCTCAAGTACCCTTGCTTCTATCATATATACTAAGTCAACATCAGTGCAAGCTATAGTGCTTGTGTCCCATAGCTGTTTTCTTAGTATTGTAAACGAACTGTTGGGCTTGATCCACAGCAACATCTCATACTTAACTGAAAATATGCAAATTATTTTTGATCGCGTACAACAACGCGCTTTGTGCCGTTCATATAATAAGCGCTACGACACGTACAAAAACACCCTCAAAATTTCTTTGTCACAAATATATAGGATACTTTAACAACGTTGCACAGGAAAATGCACATCACCGGGTAATGATGAAAATTCTGGTTACCCTCACTCACTTTGGTAGAAAAGAACCGCCGAACGTGCCATCAGGATGCCATCTCAGTCCCTGGCTGCCCAGCGACGATACCAGTTGGAGCGCTATAGAGAATCCTAGTCCACCATAGAACATGGCCTTGGTGCCGCTGAGATAGTAGAGAGGCGCAGTTACTGCACCCACAGCCACCTTGACGGTGTTGCTTGAGGCGTCGTATAAGAAGTACGGCAGTGCATAATTAAGCATGTAGCTTTGAAGGTCCATGTTGGAACGCGGCTGATATGCTTCCGCGGCGCTGTGCATCGACTTGGCCCAGTAACCAGCAAATGAATCTTCAAAACTAGGGAAGGCTGCGTACATATTTCCGAGTATAAAGCTATCAATGTACTTCTCCGGAGGCCACAATTGAAGGCGCGCCGAAGACAACTTCGCGGAGGCGAGTTTTCTGCTCTCGACATCGAGCCATTCCGACGCGTTCAACCTGTCGACGGCGGCTGAGACGAGGCAGTCAAACCCATTGATTACAAATGCGCGCTCTTGCGGCGAAAACCGTGATGCCGAGTGGAGCGCGACCACCAGAAACTGGTAGGTAGTTTCAACGAGCCGTTCGCAGAAATAGGGCCGGTAGATTGTGATGCCTTGCTCGTACCGATTCTCTACGAGCCGGTAGTCCACCGCCGGTGACATGAGCTGCACGAATGACCAGGCGATCAAGGAGAGCAGCTCGGCGTCTTGGTACGAATTCATCACAACCGCCAACTCAAGAAAGAATCCCGCGTCGCCAAAAAAGACCTCATCTTTCAGTTCTACCTCAGGACCAAGCTTTGTCTCTTTGAATGCACGTAACCACTGCTCGGAGCTCAGCGACGTAGTGAAGAGTCCAGTCTCTGAGATAGGCATGAGCACCGGGTTGATTACCGGGGAACGCATGGCCGCCAGGAGCCGTTTGAAGACGTCGCCTTCTATCGCTTTTGTTTTGGCGATGATTGTTTTGTTCACTGCTGACTCGTTGTACCTGCCGCTCAAGATGTAGTAGAACGTTGCCCAGTACTTCTCGTATCCTCCCGAATTCTTGACAGTTACGTGGTGTTGATACATCAGATGTATAAGGGATCCAGGATTCATGTTGAAGCGCCAGTTTGGCGCTGACTTCAAGCGCAGAGCTCTCACATGAAAGAAGAGTGGAAACTGCCACTTGAACGCCAGCGTCTTTAGTACGCCTAATGCAGTGTTGTTGAGTGACTCTGGTTCCTCTGGCCAAGTGAGCCTGCATTCCTTGAGCATTTCCCAAAATATCTTCACGTTGGAGCCGTATACTGAGTGGTCAGCCATGCAAGATGAGTACATGGCTAGGGGTTTCAGGCCGACCCTGATTGTTTTCGAGCCAAGTGACAACATGTCGCTGAACGCGGGAAACCGCAATTTTCGCACGTCGTTCATAGCCGAGTTGGAGTGCTCCAGGTAACCCTGCGGCGGCGACCAGGCGGAGCACACGTAGGCGCTGAAGTCCCCGCACGGGTCGAGGCTGTGGTTCAGTTGGCGAGAAGACGATATCTGTGCTGGAAACAGTCTTCAGTCTCGCAATATGGTTCTGTCGGCACTGTTTCTTTCCATTGCGGCATAAGTACCACGATGACAACTGCCATTACTATCACAGCCATGACACTCACAGTCAGGATGGCGCGGAATTGCGTGAGCCGCATTCCGGCGACGTTGTATACGACCTCAGAACTGCGTCGCCCCTGAAAATAGAAATGAAATAGAAATGGTACTTCATCATCTATTGAATGTTTTGAAGTGCTATAACTTCGTCACCTACATAATGTGAGACAGGTAACGACTTGCATTTTCCGAATTTAGCGTTCTACCTTTGCCACCTGTCTCATCTGTGGTCTGTCTACGGACTGTTTGTTGATTTTGTACGCTTAGCATGATTTGTGCGTGTATGCAGATTCTCGACAATTCAGCTCACAACTGTGTCTTTGTGTGTACGCCGAAGTGCTTCCGCTGTAAGGTGAAATCACTATTTATTCATGTCAAACAAGCGGTGTTCAGAGACGTTCAATTTAATAAAGGGACCAAAGACTAATATTTTTCCACCCAGAGGGCCACCAGGGGGCCAGGGAGTTTGGATGTGCCTCGCATCAGCTCCGCGGAAAGTTGTTTGGTCTGGTGGAAATTGTGCAGTTACAGCAAACAACTCCTACAATCTCCTGCCTGAAGTTCTCTGCACCATCTAGACCACGACTTCAGGACTGTGAGTACGTTTTGGGGCATTTTATGGCTATTTTGGTGTCGACTGCGTCTCCGCCCAGCAAAGCCTAACGCTAGCGGTGAACAAACGCGGCGGCTCGGCGGTGGCCGACGCCCCCGGCGTTCGCTTCAGAGCCCCGTTGTGGAGACGCGACGGCAATGGAGGTGACCGTGGAGGGTACTGAAATTACCCCTGAAGAATTTAGAACCGCTGACTGGATCACGAAAGTTGGAAAACATGTTAAAGAGCTGCGTGACGCCGCTAGAGGTGACAGGCAGGGACGCCAAGATGGCAACGCCCGGGCAGAAAGTGGAACCGAGCCCGGTGAAGACAGGAAGAAGACGGCGGCTGCGAACGCAGCATACAAAAAGCTGGGGCACAAGATCGCGGAGCGCTCGATTGCGTCGTACCTACCGCGGTTGCCGGCGAACGACTACAAGATAATCATTCGTCCGAAGTGCGGGCTGGCGCTCACAAAAATTCCGAACACCAGGCTCAGTGAAGCGGTGCGCATGGCAGCGCAAACTCCGTGGATTAAGGGACAAGAAAAGGAAGTGTTCATTGTTAACGACAAGCAAGGCACCCTGATTTTCAGCACTCCAGACATAGACACTGTCTGGAAGGTGACCAGGATTAAGTCTATCAAGATTGAAGGCAAGAGCTATGACGTCACGGCGTACCTCGCGCCGCACGAGGATAGCGGGCGGGGTGTGGTGCGCGGCATCGACCCGAGATTGTCAGTAGAGGAACTGAAAGAGGCCTTCGACAACTCAAGGAACCCGCCGATACTTGGTGTTAGGAAGCTGGGGAACTCAAGTTCAGCGGTCATCATCTTCAAAAATGAGACAGTGCCCAGGTGGATGTACTGTTACGGCGTACCGCTGAAGTGCGTGCTTTATAAGAAACGATACGAGGTGTGCTACCGATGTGGCCAGCTAGGACACAGATCGGACGTGTGTATCAGCGACCATGTTCGCTGCCGGGGATGCGGAATGACAGCTCGACCCGAGGACCATGCATGTGAGCCCAAGTGTAAGCTGTGTGGCAAAGGTCATCTGACAGCAGATCGGAAATGCAAGGAAGCTTTCAGGACCCCTTATACAATAAAGAAGAGACAGTGGGAGGCCTGGCGGCGAATGGAAGGAGAAGAGCGGAAGGCGAAAGACGCCGATCCACAAACGTGCAGAATGGAAGAGATCAAAGAACGGTCTAGGAGCCGGTCGAAGCATCGAAGAGGGTCAAGAGGAAGAGCAGGTTCCTTTCCAAGACTACCGGAAAGACAAGAAGGAGATCTGCCGCCAATGACTGGTCCAGTAAACGAGGGGACTTCCGGCAGTGCTGTCCTCAACAGTGGGAGACCCACGTCGCCAAACCGCAAGGTGGGTTGGGGAGATAGGGCCTCCCAGGATAAACGCGATGAAGAAATGTTAACCATTAAGGAAGAGAATCGCATGCTTAAAGAGCAGCTAGCAATGATGAGTCGGCAAATAGAGGAGCTTCAAATAGCTATTAAGTCGTCTAACACAACACCGGTTTCTCTACCACAAATGCCACAGAATCAAAATATAAAAATGCCGGAGGAGCAGAGCGCTACTCCACCTCCAGCGAAAAAGAGGGCAAAAGAAGCGGAAAAGCCCGTAATAGAGGAGAACGTAGCGACAGTGATAGACATGAAAATAGCGCAACTGGAGGCAAACATTGAAGCCAAATCTACCGAGGACGATGAATGGCGTAAGGCCTTCGAGAAACGAATGTTCGAAATGTTTCAAAATCTGAATCAGCAGTTGCATCAGCGGGATAATAAACTTACCGAGGAACTTAAAACAGAATTCGCGAAGAGGGATCGCGCGTATGAACAGCTCGCCCAAGAAGTATTAGGCAGGCCGATTAATCACCTTAGTGGCAATCATGGCTCACAGATTCAGTAAGAACACCGTTTGGCAATGGAACTGCAGAGGCTTCACGCGCAAGCGTGCGGTTCTGCAGGAATTCCTGAGGAAAGGGGATCGACCGGATGTTATAGCTTTACAGGAATGTGGGAGAAAGGCGACGTTGCCGGGTTATAAATCCTATGTAAGCGAAGGCACGAGTACGCAGGTGGCCACCCTGGTCAGGCGAAACGTTACGGCGGTGCAGCATGACATTGGTAATGCACACATCGACCATGTTCTCATAGAACTAATACCCCAAAAAAAGAAAAACGCTAGCTTATTCGTATTAAATATATACAGCTCTCCCAGACAAAGGCGATGTGACTTTGGGGATCTCTTCGCTTCTACGCGACGTAAGAGTAAGAACAACCCATTGCTGACCGTCGGTGACTTTAACGCTCACCACACGGCATGGGGATATAAGCAGGCTTCAATTAAGGGCAGGAAATTGTGGGATGACATGCAAACTCATAATCTGGACTTGATAACCGACCCGTTGCAGCCAACAAGGAAGGGAAATAGTGTCGCGGTTGATACCACACCCGACCTTACCCTGACGGGGAGCGGCACTAGTGCCACGTGGTGCAACACAAACGAGGACCTAGGCAGTGATCACATGATCATAGAAATAGTGGTAGAGGGAGGCCCGGCAACACCTCGGAAACGAAGGGTAGAGGCCGTAAATTGGGACTCTTTCAGGGACCTCAGGGGCGACCCGACTCCCATTTCCGACATTGCCGAGTGGTGCGATGGGGTGTTACGTACTGTTAAGGAAGCCACTGAAGTGGTGGAAACCGAGGAGGACAAGGAAGTGGTAGACACGAGATTAGTAAATCTTTGGAAGAAAAAGAAAGCTTTGGAAAACCGACTCCAACAGAGGAGATGGGATCGGAGTATCAGGAAACAAATAGCAGCTTTAAACAGGCAAATTGAAGAGCACGCCATCACGCTCACGAAGCAAAGGTGGGGGAACCTCTGTCAGGAGATGGATAGAAATATAAGTACGTCCGGGACGTGGCGACTTCTTCGTCACCTTTTAGATCCGGAGAGCACGAAGACAGCGTCTAAACAACAATTGGAACGAATGGCGCACCAATTTGAAGGTACTAGGAAGGAACTCTTAGAAGAAGTTCGGAGCAGATACATTAATCCCGCCGGATCCGAACCTCTCCCAGATTATGGAGGGCGGGAAAACGCAGCCTTAGACGCCCCTATCTCCCTGGCTGAGGTGCGAGCAGAGATTAATCGGCTAAGGACTAGATCAGCGGCAGGGCCGGACAGAGTGACTAACAAAATGCTCCGTAATTTAGACGATAGGTCCATCGCTAACCTAGCAACGTACATGCAGGAGTGTTGGGAAAAAGGGACGATACCGCAGGAGTGGAAACTCGCAAATGTAATTTTCATTCCTAAACCGGGTAAAAAACTCTGTTTCGAGAATCTTAGGCTGATATCGTTAACGTCTTGCGTAGGTAAGCTCATGGAGCATGTCGTTCAGACGCGGCTCAATAGGTACATGGAAGACAATGGTATGTATCCGGACACCATGATCGGTTTTCGACCCCGACTATCAGCGTGCGACGTGATGCTACAGCTCAAGGACCAAATTATAGACAAGCCAACGCGAGACACAAAAGTTATCGTGGGTTTAGATGTGGCAAAAGCATTTGACAACGTGAGGCACGTATCAATCTTGGAGAGTCTGAGCTCCCTGAATGTCGGAAAGCGACTTTATGATTATGTCAAAGACTTCCTTTCGAGCAGGACAGCCACTTTAAAAATCGGGGAAGAATCCATCGAGGACATTAAATTAGGCAACAGGGGGACACCTCAGGGCTCGGTGTTATCACCCACCCTTTTCAACATTGTGATGTTGAAACTGCCTGAACAGTTAAAGGATATTGAGAATTTAAATCACACCATTTACGCGGATGACATAACATTATGGATGAACAAGGGCAGTGACGGCCAAATTGAAGGCTCTCTGCAAATCGCCATTGATAAAATCGTGGAGTACCTGGAGCCCAAAGGACTTAAATGCTCGGCCGAAAAGTCGGAAGCACTCTTCCTCACGCCCGCCGGAAAACGGCGGCTCCACAACAGGCCTGAAGTGGACATCCACTTGTATGTTAACGGCGCAGAGATCCCCGCGGTCGACAGTATCCGTGTCCTTGGACTAAGGATTCAGGCGAACCGTAGGAATTCTGAAACTCTTGCTAGGTTGGAAGCCAGTTCTAATCAGACATGTCGTCTCATCAGACGAATAGCAAACAGGCATGCTGGGATGAAGGAGGCGAACCTTCTTAGATTAGTGCAGACCTTCATAATAAGTAGGATAGTGTACGTGGCACCTTATTTAAACTTAAACCAAGCGGAGCGGGGCAAACTCGACACCATTATCAGGAAAAGTGTGAAAGTCGCGCTCGGACTTCCCCCAAACACGTCAACTGACAGACTTATGAAGTTGGGGGTATCTAACACACTCGATGAGCTAATTGAGGCTACTGTGACTGCACAA